AAGCATCTAATTTTTCCATCCATACTAAAAATTGATTGAGAAAGCGTATTGCCACTCCTAAATGAAAAGTTGCCTAACTCTCCAAAAGAAAGTGTCATCGAAGAAACTTTTACTTTCAAATTGAAAAACCAAAACATATTTACTTTGGATCGAAATTTCAAGCCACATATTTTTGAGTTGGTATAACTTAAGGGATCAAAGCAGTTTTATTTTGCCACAAAAAATCAAGAATCACATTCTTATGCACCCTGACACATTTCCTTTCTTTAAAAATAGATACAACACATTGTTTCAGCTTTCAAACAATTACTTGAGCATCTCTTAGTGTTCCAACTGGTACACATTCCATATGAAACACCTACCATAATTATGATAGCTCAATCAATTTAAAGAATTAGAATTTTTGGTATAATAGTATACCTAAGTAGAGACAAAAACATAAGCTGCATATACTTTTACGTGCCCATATCATTTAATATAAGATGTAGAAAGACCAAAAAAAATTTATGATAGAAACTTGTGGAATCAGTGACCAAGATGACATCATTTTTCACCAAGTCTCAATCTTCATTGTGTCACTTAATATGTAGGATGCAATATAGAGAAAGATAACACTCTTTCTTGTAAAAGTAACACATAACTGAGCATACAAGTTTGTAGTTTGTGGTGATAAGATATGAAAGAAACAAACAACAAAAGTTCTCACATAAACTGTTAGATACCATAACCAAACCTACACATTTTTGCCCGTAAGAGCAATAGTGTAACCATGATAACTTTTATTTTCAGATTGTCAAACCTTTAAGAGGAATCATGCCACCAAATTAGCTCATACTTTCAAAGCCACATACAGAAACAGGTTTTCATTGAATCAAAAGCTCAACGCATGTTTTTTCAGAACTAGAACTGAACCGGAGAGATTAAATTGTCTCAATAAATTTTAAAAAAATTCTTACTTTCCAAAAAACACTTTTATGCTCCAAAGTAATAAATTAGGTGCTCTTACTTTCCAAAACTGGACACATTCCATATGGGACACCATAGGCAATTATTGTTAAGCAAAAACAACAAAGAAACTTTGAAATGACATACCAAAAAATATTAACCTGCAACCAAAAAAAATCCGTGCATACTTTTCTTGACTTCCAACTACCGTAGCGATTGGAGGATTTACCTTTTCCCCAGAAATTGAAAAACATCTGCCGACACATAAAAGTACATTTATTTACAATAAACCAATACACTTTTATTTGGAAAACAATGAATTTGGAAACTTTAACTGAGCAAAGAAAGCATATCAAGTTTATTAAATTGGCTTCAAAATCAAGAACGATGATATTTCTCAAATAAAATGAATAATTCCCATAACCAAACATTCATGTCTTTCGTCCGTAGTAATAAATAATTGAGAAAGCACACTGCCAGATCTATAAGAGAAAGGTTACCAACTCTCTAAGAGAAAGGGTGTCATCAAAGCAACGTTTTATTCTGAAAAATATTTACTTTAAATCAAAAGTCTAAAACCACAACTTTTAGAGTTCGGATAACCTGAGGCATTAAAAAAGTTTTAGTTTGCTGCAGGAAATCCAAAATCATTCTCTTTTTGCACCAAGACACATTTATCTTTATACAACACGCTTTCAGTTTCTAAGAATTACTTGAGATCCACTTACTTTTCCAACTAGTATACTTTTCATATAGGACACCTGTAAATTTATTTTAAAAGCAATAGGTCAAGAAACTTTAAACCAACACACCGAAGAAAAATAACTTCCATTTAAAAGATCAAGGGACAATTTTTTAGAGATAGATTTATCTAAGGGACCGGCAAAATCTTTCATTGCTCCAAAAAATCAAGAGATTAAATGAATTTTACTTTTCTCTGAAAAACTGTGAAGCTTTTGCATAGATACCGAGACACATTTATTTCCAAAGAATTAGTTAATACAATGTCAGTTTTGAAACATCAAATTGAGGTACTTTTACTGAGAAACAAACCTGCACCAAGGTTATCAATGTGGCTTCAAAATGAAGAGTGGCAACCTTCCTCACATAAAATGACAATTATTCCCATAAGCGAACATCAAATTTTTCCATCCATTCTAAAAATAGATTGGGAAAGCATATTATCATCACCAAGTGAAAGGATCCCTAGCTCTCCATAAGAGAGTGTGCCACGAAAGAAACTTTTACTTTCAAACCGACACACCGAAACATATTTACTTTGGATCGAAATTTCAGGTCATATCTTTTTTGAGTTGGTACAACTTGAGGGATCAAAGCATTTCTATTTTGCCATAAAAAATCAAGAATCACATTTTTATGCACCGAGGAACATCTCATTTTCTAAAAAATAGATACTTGAGCCTCTCTTAGTGTTCCAACTGGTACACTTTTCATATGAAACACCAACTGTAATTATGTTTCAACAAAAGGTTAAAAAATTTTAAGTTGATATATCAAAAAATATTTACTTCCAGCTAAAAGATCAAGTCACATTTTTTTTAAGAATTGGAACTATTCTGAGGGACAGAATTGCCCCAAAAAATTGAGGAACATTTGCTTAGACACCAACATGAATAATTATTTTGAAAAAACAAATAAAGACACCTTCAATTTCAAAAAAAATGAATCGAGCTATTTTACTTTCCGAACTTAAATATTTCAACATGAGACGTCTAAGGATATAAAGTAAGTTTGTTTTGAAAAATTGAGAAACTTTTAGCTTTCAAAATGATTATCCAAGCACAGCGATTTTGGGACTGAAAGCTTGTTGATATGGAATTGAAACTCTTATACTTGGGTCCGAGAATCTCAATTAAAACATTCATTATGGATGCAAGTGCCACATAAATAATGTTCTCTACTCAAGAGACCCGGCCATTTTTTATTCTTTACCAAGTATCTTTAATAAATGAAGCTTCAAGACACATCTCAACAACCTTTCTCGATAAACTAAATCTAACAGTTCCCATAACTGAGCATACAAGTCTTTCGTCCATGGTCATCACATACTAGGAAAGCAAATTGCAGTGTCTAAGAGAGAGAGGGGCCATCATGATAGCTTTCACTTCCAAAACGACAAACATAAACATATGTATTAGGAATCAAATGTTCAAAACTCATTTTTTCACAGTTGGTGCTACCCGAGGGACTAGAGCAGATTTACATTTTCTCAAGAAAGAAACATTATTTTATTCATCAAGGCACATTTATTTTTAAAAAATTTATAAAACATGCTTTCGGTTTCTAAATAATAAAGTGAGGCTCTCTTACTTTTCAAATCAAAACACCATAAACATTTATTTTTTAACAAAAGAAACAAGAAACTAAAAATGTACCAAAAAATTGAGAAACATTTGCTCAGGCACCAACAAACAAGTTTATTTTGAAAAAATAAATAGAAACACATGCTCTAAAAAAAATTAATTGAGGCCATTTACTTTCTGAATATGGCACATTGAATGATGTATGTTTGTGCCAAAAGATCATGAAATTCAAACATTCAAAACATATCCCATATATCTTACATAAACTGGTGCAACCATTAATCAAGCAAGTAGATTAAGGTCAAGGGAACAAAGCAAAAATATAATAAGTTACCTAATGCCAGTGCCGTCTAAGAAAGAGAAAACAGGGGCTTACTATCACACCATTTGCTCCTTATTGAACACATGAACCAAATGCATCTCTTATTGATGGTTCTGCCAACTCCTATTTATTTGGTTAGTTTTACAAAGCCAAAGATTTCAGTTTCATGCAATTAATGATGCCACGAAATGTATATAACATTCTATCCATCCCGAAAATAAGTACAAGTCAAAACAGTACACACACTAAACTGAATAAATAGCATCAGAGTTAAAGAATTGTGCCCATCATCCCTGCAATATTACCTTTGAGAAAAACATCTAAACAACCAAATATGGTACGTGCATAACAAGTAACAGTATATAGCTATGAGTATCTCGAGTGTGTGCTTCAAGACCAATGGCTACTCTATAACAGCAGAGAAACA